AAAAAAATCAATATGTATACATATTTATATATATATATATATATATATATATATATATATATATATATATATATATATATATATATATATATATATATATATATATATATATATATATATATATATATATATATATATATATATATTTTTTTTTTTTTTTTACTTGAATAAATTTCAATTGATTTTTGGGCCTACGTTTGGACTTGTTTTGACTTTCGGGCGAAAATGAGCTCAAAATCGAACCGAAAACCGAACCATTATTGAAACCGAACCCAGAATTTTATGAACCGAAAAGGAACCGAAACCGAACCGAAACCGAACCGAAACCGAGAAAGAACCGAACCGCAAGAACCGATCGGTTTGGTTTTTGGTTCCTTAGGAACCGAACACTTCGGTTCCGGTTCCGGTTTGTGGCTAAAACCGAACCGAACCGAACCGTTCTCACCCCTAGGGGTGGCTGTAATTACCCAAAATAATATCAACACAAAAAAAAAAAAAAAAATGCCATGTGGCAAAGAATATAAAAAACAATTGATTTGGAATTTAAATTTTACAAGATTGCCCCTCCCCAAACAAAGCAAAACAGCGCGCGAAACCCCAGAAGAACCCTCCTATCACACTTGGCCATTCTCCATTCTTCGACGGTAGAGTACAGTAGCGCTGCTGCTATTGAACAATGCCGGAGCTGCCGGAGGTGGAGGCCGCGCGTCGGGCGTTAGAGGATCACTGCGTAGGGAAGAAGATCAGGAGATCGACGGTCGCCGATGATTCAAAAGTCATTGACGGCGTCTCTCCGAAGGATTTCGAGGCGGCGCTCGTCGGTAAAACTATTGTCGCCGCTCACCGAAAGGGAAAGAACATGTGGCTTCAGCTTGATTCCCCTCCTTTTCCCTCTTTCCAATTCGGTACTGCTGCATTTCTTTTGAGATTAAGAAAAAAACCCTAATACTGCATCCATTACCGTCCTTTTTCATTTTTGAGATATTAATCGTGTAATTAATTATTTTTTGTTTACATAGTTTTTATTCTTAATACTGTTTTTACTATGGGGTTTATCAAGAATTTTACCGGTGACGCTTGGGAATATTTATAAATTAGAGACTTCAGTAGAACTAGTAGTTAACCTGAGTAAAATATGTTCTTAATCGTAAACGATTAGATTGTACCTTTGTCATCTGATCATTGTTTACAAGGGTTAGTTTTAACATAGAATAAGTGTTTGAAACTCCGAAGTAGTTAGGAGGTGTGGTCGTACTCGTATTCATGTTTTTGGCTTTAGAGAATGGTAATGTAGTTAAATATACATCGGTTGTTAGGAGTTTGGTTGATTTGGAAAAAAAGAAAAAAACATTTAATTGATTTAGTTTTCCCCTGCCAATACTTTTCCTTTTCTGCATGATTGGATTTTTTTTCTTGACTTTTTAAGCACGAATTATGACTTTGACATAGTTTTGGGTTCCATCTTCTCGGCAAGAATGCCTACTTTGCAGAAAAGTGAGTGAGGAAAATTTTGAAATAAGCATATTATAAGATACTTGCCATTTTTCTTTCGTAAAGTGGTGAAAGGATATTGTTGCTGGATCTTCGTAAGACAGTGTCTCTCTTTTATGATGATTATCATGTCTGCCTTTTGTTTTGTTGTCTGTATTTAATAGACTCTCAATGGTCTTTCTCTTAAAGTTTATTTTCATTTGTTTCTTACAGGAATGGCTGGAGCTGTTTATATCAAGGGGGTTGCAGTCACTAAATATAAGCGGTAAGTGGCATGCGGCTTATCAGGATACCACCGTGCGTTTTTCGAAAACTCAGCCATCTGCATTATTTTTGTTACAGACACGTGTGATTGAGCAATACGTACTAGGATTTGAATTGCTGAGTCTGTGTCCGAAGTTGTCATGTATAAGAAATTATTATTGCAATCTTCTGATTCATTACCGAACTAGATCACATTTGAAGTACAATTAGTCTCAACCTACACATTATCCCCCATTAACATTTGTATATCAGCATGGACCTAACTTTCGTCTTTCAACCACCATCTAGAGTTAAGAAGATTAAAAACATGATTACACTTGAGAGAAAAAGGGGAAAAAAGCTCAAATTGACTGAATGGTTGTGAAGCAGTGGGATTATCTGTTGCTAAAAACAGAGGATTATGGTCAAAGGGCAAATTGTTTAGCTTCTTATGTCATTTATTAAATTCTTTATTACTAGTGGCTGTGACTGAATATGCTATTATTGACAGGTCTGCTGTTAAGGAGACAGATGAGTGGCCTTCCAAGTATTCCAAGTTATTCGTTGAAGTAAGAATCCAATTACTATATTTAATGGGATTGAAACTACTTATTCTTGAAAAATGAACTACAAAATTCTGTGCACTATGGTACTTGAGAAATTCACACCACCTGGCTCCAATGTATGCATTCTGCTCTAAAATGGAAAAAGATGTTTACATGGCATGTACATATACACATGCACATGTGTCTATAATATGTATTTATGTATGTTGTTATCTAGTCAGGATTTGCAGAATTTCTACTTTCTTTGTCGGGGGGTGGGGGTGGGGGGTGTATCAAGGCTCTGATGTTTCTTTTTGCTGGAGCTATCGGTATTTCTTCTTTTCTTTTCCTCTGAAGCATACTTAGTATAAAAAACAAAGTTGCTTACATAGTTCTTAGTTTGCAATCTAGATAAATAATATAATTGTTGTCTAAATTTCTGACAATGATACTTCCTCATTTGTGGCTCAGCTAGATGATGGTTTGGAGTTCTCTTTTACTGACAAGAGGCGGTTTGCTAAAGTTCGTTTGCTTGACAATGTAATGTGAAACTATTCATTCATCTGCTCATTTCTTTTTTCCTTAATCAAACTGGAATTTTGAAGATGATCATACGCTGACACTTTAACAGCCTGTTTCTGTGCCCCCAATATCTGAGCTTGGTCCTGATGCATTGAAGGAGCCTATGACAGTAGATGGGTTGAACAGTTCATTGAGCAAGAAGAAGATTGGAATTAAGGCTCTTTTACTTGACCAGGTTTTTTTTTTATGGTTTTACTATGTAAATGTGGGCGGATTTAAAGGCTTGCCTCTAGCATATAGCCATAACCTTTGCGAAGGGATACTTCACTGTTGCTTCAGAAATCACCGCAACTAACGCTTATCTATCTGACGTTACAGCAACTAAAAAATTAACATGGAAATGAACTGACTATGTTTATAATATAGTAATTAGCTCCTTGTTTTAGCCGTTGCATGTAAAAACTTGGCTTTCCCATCTTCATGAAAATCAATCTTGAGTTTTGGATATTAATTTACTCTACTGTCACAAAAAATTGCAAACTAAAATATAGGTAGCATAAGAGATTAGATTATCAGGAATAATACATTATTTACTGTAATTTGGGAGTGGATTGTAGTAGGGAGAACCTTGTATGTAATATATTTGCACATGGTTTAGAATGGGGTTATCAAGAAGAACTATACACTCATTTTTCCTATTAGGAAGTCGAAAATAGTAACAATCATGTCATGGTGTTGACATAATTAACACCAATGCCATTTCCCCAGAAAGAGTTGGCATGCGATGGAGGGGACTTGAACAAGCATGTATCAAAACTTCATAGAAACAGTGACACCATGTTCAACCTAGGATAGACTGGATCACCATTTGTGCTTATAAAAGGCTGTATTCCTTGAAATAGTTTACCATCCGGTAGAATTGTTTAGATATTTTATCCAAGTTGTCTTGCTTGCATAGTAAGTAATTAATATCTATGATAGCCTTTGGAATCCAGATTCATAGAAACTCGTAATAGGATGCTACATTTGATGGGGAAAAAAGCCCTGTAAAATTACAGTGAAATGTAAATGCAAGTTAACTTCAGGATGTGATATAAAATGTAAATTTTATATAGACACATTTGATGCAATGATGAAATCTACTTAAAATGTTTGTTTTCTTCAGACTGTTTTCAGGCGTTATATGTATGTTATTTTGTACAGAGTTTTATCTCGGGCATTGGTAATTGGATGGCTGATGAAGTGCTATATCAAGTCAGTAAGCTTTATTCTCCATCACGTTTCTGTTTTGCATGCAGAAAAATATGTGCTCTGGTGCTGCTACAGTATTTTCTTTATTTTAATCAGATTTAGTTACTGAGTTCCTCTTTTAGTGTTTGAACTTCGGAGTTAGGACTGTTCTTTCTGAGCAAGTTTAAGTCAGTATCCATAACAAAAGCAAAACTCTTATCCTGGGTTTTACATTTGTTTCTGAAATGGGAAAGTATCAACAGGCATAAGCTATCAATTTTTGCAATTTGAAACATCTATACTTGGCCAACTTGTTACAGATTCAAGTTCAACACACTTAATTATTACCTTAGTTTGTCCGTGATGAAGAACACACAAGATAATGCAATTCAATTTAATTGATTGTTGTGATTTAACAGGCAAAAATCCATCCACAGCAAGCTGCTTCAAGCTTGTCCAAAGAAAACTGTGCAACCTTGCTCAAGTGCATTAACGAGGTGACAGTTATGTATTAATATTGTTTATTAGCTCCATGTCTTTATGTTCAAAATGCTTGCACTCTATATGGCTGTTACTGGAGACTGTACTTTTAGGTTACAAATTTTGCCGTTGAAGTTGATGCAGACAGCCTCCGCTTCCCTGTTGAATGGCTGTTTCATTTTCGCTGGGGCAAAAAGCCAGGAAAAGTTGACGGTGAGATGTTTTAACATATGTATTAATTTGACATTCAATCATTTAATTTTACAGGTGACTGAAAAGGCTATGGAAGTTGGGGCCGATAGTAGTCAGTTCCCTAGTAATTGGATTTTCCATTCCCGGGATAAGAAGCCTGGCAAGGCTTTTGTTGATGGTCTGGTTCTTGACCCGTGCCATACTCTTTATTGTGTTGCAGTTAATTTTTACACAGTCCTCTTGTCCTAAGCAGCATTTCTATCTAGTCTTTCTCTTAATTCCGATTCTTTTTGTTTGTTTTCACTTTATAGGACTTACTAATCCTGCTATATTCATGGTCTTAGTCATGCATAATTTTGTGAAAAGACGACTTTTGAACAATTAAAATCCTCGGTGAGGTTCCACAGGATTATGCAGCTGAAGTTGTATCATCTAATGTATCTATTATTTAATTCTGTTGGAAGGAAACGTAAACTTTGAATTCGAGTCTTGTAGTTGAGATTATATTTCTTGCTCGCAGGTTATAGATACATCGATTGCTTTACGTGAGATAACTAACGAATTACTCTCTCTGACAGGTAAGGTAATTGAATTCATCAATGCAGGCGGCAGGGTATGTTTTTTTCTTCTTCTTGCAATTCGATGTAAGCATTTATGACGGCATTATTTTGCGGAAGACTCAATTTACATCTGTTGCAGACTACAGCATATGTCCCGGAGTTGCAAAAGCTAACCGGCAATCAAGCTGTAAAAGAAGCATCCAATAAAACTACTGCTGACAAAAGCCACAGTGTTGACCAGTCGGAAAACGAAGAAGACGAGCCTAAGAAAGCTAAAGTAGTGAAAGGAAGGAAGACGAGTAATAGAGCAGCCACAAAGCCTTCCACGAAGAGCAAGTCCGATGCAAATGTTGAAGATTCTGACAATGATGATGACAGCAATGGTGTTGATGATGTAATATCTTCAAAGAGAACAAGAGGGGCTAAGAACCCTCCTGCAAAAAGCAAAAATGGAGAGGGGCAAAAGAGTCAAACGAGAAGGAAAGTTGCTCCTGCAAAGAGAAAGATCGAGGAAAGTGATGGTGATGACCTCAGCAATTCGAGTGGCAGTAGCGATAATGATAACGATAATGGAAAACGTGCGAAGGCTTCAGTAGCAGCGTCGAAGAAAAAGGTTGCATCCAGTCGGAATGCAAAGCCAAAGAAAAAGGTGAAATAATTACCTATGCAGCCACTACTCTTACATGTTATTGACAGCAATCGGTACTGCTTTTTTGGCTTTTTGAGTAATTTAAAATGATATGCGATGATAAATCGTACTACTTTTATGCTTCTAGTTCTTAGACAGACTGCAAATGCGTTGTAGTAATATTTTGGATCCGAAATTGGGTGATTTGCGAAATGGTTTCACCTCTAAAGTATGTAAATGTGGTTTTTCAGTGACTTCAATATGCAATGCCGATGACAATGCAGGTAGTGTGCATACATTGTGAATTAATTGGTCGTCTTATCGAATGCCGCTTTTAGGGTTTATACGAGGAAAACTTGTATAAATGTCGGGCAGGTTGACTTGATATAAAGCGGAAACTGTTCAGAAAAATCTAGTTCCGTTTCGAATCAGTGGCATGTTCAAGAAGATTTATATTTTGTCACAAGTTCTTATATGTGCATTTATCGACTGATTTTTTGAAACGAGTCCAAATGGGAATGATTTGAAAGTGGCTATAAATTCCGTATCAAATAACTCAATTCAAACAAATTCAATTGATTTATTATTATGAATTTGAAATGCCTCTTTCGAATCCTCCCTTCAGAGATCCAACGTTTATTATAAGCAGTAATTTTCCGTCACCCATTTCCTTCTATAACCAAAAGGAAGTACGGGAAATTGTATTTAAAACCTAAGCTTTTTTTTTTTTTTTTTGGTGGTTCGAGACGTATGTACTTGCCAACTTGTTTCAGAACCAAGTTTTCAATATTTACTTACATTCTTTGTCTCTATATCACAATAAAATACACTGCCTTTGCAACATATGAAACAAATATACATTGGTAATGGAAGCAATTATCTACCTTCAAATAATAAGCTCCTCCGCAGTTGAGATGTCTGCGCGCGAGATGCATTTTGTTCATCGCAAAAATACGTTCAATGCCTCGATAACTTTCTCCGGCCTGCAGATTAAAAAAAATGAAAAAAAAGTCTTTGATGTGTGCTAGAAAACGCAATATATTTGTACACGAACAAGTTCCGGGAGTTTTATTACCAGTCCTCCTGTGGCATGTGGCCTGCACCTTCAATCAACTTAAGCTTTATTACATCAGGATTCCCTTTCTGAAATTCTTCTGCCTCTGATTGAGGAAGATATTTGTCTGCTATTCCCCACGCAACCAATATTGGCTTGTCCCATCTGAAGAACCATATTGGGCAAGTTTCCATCATTTTGGAAGAGAAAATTATACGGTATTAATAGCGGGCATCAAGGATAGTTTTTGTTCGGAAAATTAAATTTGAAGATTTAATATTCCGAATATTGTGGTAATTAACTACAAATATGATGCAATGTTCTTTAAAAATAGGATTAAATGCATCTAAAAAGCACAAATATAATCTCAAAAAAAGATACGAAATTTCTGATAGTAATGTACCTTCCAGCTGCAAATCCAGCTGATACTTGGCTGTTCGTATCCTTGAAATTAGCTTTTTTTGTAGCCTCAAGCAGAGCTGAAAACACCAAAAGATGTAGAATCACTCGATGTGTTCATATCGCATGATTATGAAAATTTGAAGTATTCCATACATGCACATCAAATTGCCTCTAACCCATGCTGACGATAACTGGACACATGGCATTATTAGTTACACTAGTTTTAATCCATTTGGCAGTCACAAACGACGGTAAATGACTTGGGAGATACTAAAGTTTTGGTGAAAAACTAAATCACGGAGAGAAATGTAATATAGCTAACGTTAAGGGAACATGTTTTTCCTACTCAAACTTAATGATTTGCAAGTAAAAGTAGGACTTGCGGCACTAAGGATATATAATTTTGAGAAAAACAGTATTGAAAATTAGCTAGAAGCTTGACACGACAAAACATTAATAGTAATTGTCTGCAGAAGATTCAATTCCAGGATTCGACAGGATTACTAACCAAATCCAGGTCCGCTGCTGGACAAATACGGTAACCGATACACATCTGCCTTATCCAGCTTCAACACGTAGCTGCCATGAACATTACTTTATTTAGTGACCAAAACACAAATATAATTAGTGTAAACCACAAATGAGAATAACTAATAATGCCACTCAACAGTGATTTTAATCAGCTACTTCCCCATGCACTTATATAAAACTAAAATCATCTTCAACAAATAGCAATACATATTCAGATAAATGCATGCAATATCTGAACAGTCTATCCATTAAAACTAGTTAGAGCAAAAGTATTATACAAATTTTCACTAAAATTTTCCAGAAAATATGTTGCTCCTTTGATTTTGTTGAACACACAAGTAAATCTCAAATAAATGGTTAGGCACTTCTAAAAGAATGTAAAGTTTTCTTAAGATGGAAGTAAATTTATTGATACGTACGCGCTACCTGCTTCAATAAAACGCTCAGCCATAACTGCATTCTGGCAAGTGAACTCACCAAGAAATGGAATCCTGGTCACAGGCAAACGACGATAACATATATTGTCATAAAAACAAATAACCAAAATGATAGTGAAATACGAAAAAAATTACATGGTCACTTTATTAGAAACAACATGCATTACTGACTGAGGGTAGAAATAAAACCTTAGTTGTTGAAATAGTCCAGGAAGTGGGGATGAGATTGTCAATGGGGTGTTCATGATTGCAAGCTTTGATATTCTGCTTTGATTTTTCAAAGCCCATGTCAATCCGTACGACCCCACCAAAAATCCCTACAAAAGAAAAAATAGATGCAAGAGTTTATTTACAATTAAAGTATGAAGGTTTAAAATTTGCATGCGTTTCAATTTGAGAAAAGCAAGAATAATATTTGGAAAGTTCAAACCTGAACCACTAGATAAAACGGTGACGTAATTCCAAGAGTATCCAGTAATTTGTCAAATACATCATGGAATTCTTTCTCTGTAAATGAATGATTGTGAATTCAGAAATCCACAGAAAACTTCGTGCTACGATCACATTTTGAAATAAATGATCGAAAAGTCGCAAACCTGTATAGTCAAAACCATATCCAGCCTGAGGCTTGTCACTAAAACCAAATCCTATCCAGTCAGGCGCAAAGCAGTGGAATCCATAACCAGCCATCTAAGAAAGAACGAAATACATATAAAACCGATAAATACAAAAATATTTTATCGAACGAAAAAAAAACACGGTCAAATTATTAATTAATAGATCGCCAAAAAAAACCTCAGACATAACAACTCGATAGCTGTACGACTGCGTCGGAGCTCCGTGGAGAAACACGATGGTCCCACGGCGGCTCTCCGGCGATCCTGCAGAAGGAAGAAAAATCAAGTTTTTTATTTGAAATAAAGAAAAAATTATAATGCAATGATTTTTACCTGTTTCTCTCACAAACCATTTGAACTTTCCAGATCTAATGTAAGAGCCATACTCTTTTCCCTTGTCTTCTGTTCTCTTCAATAAAACATAGCGACAGAGAAATTAGCTTATTGATTATAAATAAAACCTAATTAATTAATTAAGAGGCTAAAAAACAAATTGAATTGATAAACACAATTTAGAAAACAGATCGCTGTTCTTACGTAGAGCACTTGACCAACGTTTCCGTCCTCGGCGGGGGATTCCGGGAGCTGAATGGCGCCGCGGCTCGACGGATTATCGGTGACGAAGCCGAACGGATTGAAAGCTGGTTTATCGCCGTCGTCTTCAGAAGATTTGGCAATTGTACGGAGGAATCTCTTCGGAATGGAGAATCTGCTTGGAGGAATCGAAGAAACGGCGGGGGAGAAGAAATGCGGCGGAGAAGGAGGAGAAATGAGAGAGAAAGGCATGCTGCGGTGGCGAAGTGGTGGCGCTGTTGATTGATGGTGGTGGTGTGAGAGCAAGTGGAGGGGAATTCGAATTTTACGACCACCACTAACTACTGATACTGAAAATCTCTGCTTTTATATGACTATAATGCCCCTCGTTTTCTCGTTAAATGACTATAATGCCCTTCATAAGTTTACAGATTCGAATTGAATTTTCAATTTGATTAATTGCAAATACGTGAAAGTATAGGGGCCGAGTAGTAAAAAACGTAGGAATTGGATAGGGTAAAAATTTGCTACCCTCTCAGGCTTTGACTCAACCCCGCGTCAACCTCTCTCCTAGTAAATGGCCGACGATGCCGTCTTTTCTCCCGCCGGCGAGGGTTTATCGCCGAATTCCGGCATCGAAATCTCTGTAAGTCATTATCGGCTGTTTATTTTGTCGCCGTTAACTGCAATTTGTTCACCAGCAGATGAGTATATCATCAATCTATTTAAAAAAAAAAAGCCGAATTTTTATAATAATCCACTGGAAAAATTGGGGGAAATCTATCTACTGGATTCAGATAATTTATGAATCATTGTTTTCTTGTAGTAATTTCGTAATTTTTCCAGCTTGAGGTATCCTGAATTATTTTTTCAATAATTGGCCTATTTTTTTAATTTTTAATTTTTAATTTTTTTAATTTTTTTGTGCTGTCTTTACATGTTCACTGTTATTGGAAAATCATAATGCGGTATGAAGTTAATTAGCAAAATATTGATTCTTAATCGCCTTTGTAAGGGTTGCAGTATCCATGTTGGATAAAAATTATTTCGATTACGTTTAAAGCTATAATAATGTCTTTTTGGTTTCTTCGTAGATGGAAGAAGAAGGTTCCGGAAACAGCGAAGAGCTGCTCGATGATGAGGGGGAAGAAGATTTCGAAATCGAAACCGACGCCCTTACGAATGAAGACAACCAGATACTCGAAGTCAAGAGTGACAATCTCGAAAACGCCATTCATCAAGCACTCATAGTTCAAAGAACTGATCTTGAAAACGAATGCGAGCATGTGCTTGATATTTATGCCAATAATAACGGGAATATAGCAGGCGCTCAAACCGATCATACCGAGGGAAAATCTTATATCCCGCCTGTAGTTGGAATGGAGTTTGAATCGTACGAAGATGCATACAACTATTACAACTGCTACGCAAAGGAGCTTGGTTTCGGTATTAGGGTCAAATCCTCGTGGACAAAGCGTAACAGCAAAGAGAAGCGTGGGGCAGTGCTCTGCTGCAACTGCGAGGGTTTTAAGACAACGAAAGAAGCGAGCACTCAGAGGAAGGAAACTAGGACAGGGTGTCAGGCCATGATTAGGTTAAGGTTGGTCGAGTCTAGTAATAGATGGAGATTGGATGAAGTTAAAATCGAGCACAACCATTTATTCGATCATGAAAAGGCTCAAAATTCGAGGTCCCACAAGAAGACGGAAGCAGGTACTAAAAGGAAGTTGGAATCTGCTGTCGAAGTAGAGATACAAACGATTAAGTTATTTCGAACTCCAGTGAGTTACGGAAGCTCGAGCGAAAGAGAACCCAATAACAATTTAGATCCGATGAAAAGAATAAAATTCGGAAACGGTGATATATTAGCTCTTTACGATTATTTTCGCCGTTCGCAGCTGACTGATCCGAACTTCTTTTATATCATGGATTTAAGTGACGAAGGTTATTTGAGGAATGTATTTTGGATTGATTCTCGGTCGAGAGCTGCCTATAGTTATTTTGGGGATGTAGTGGTAGTTGATACAACCTGCGTGTCGAATAAGTACGATGTTCCTCTCTTGTCATTTAGTGGACTGAATCACCACGGTGAATCTTTATTACTTGGATGTTGTTTGCTTGTGGATGAAACCCTCGAAACATATATTTGGCTGATGAGAGCGTGGCTTACGTGTTTATCCGGGCGGGCCCCACAAACTATAATCACGGACCGGTGCAAGTTCTTGCAGGGTGCGATATACGAGGTTCTTCCTAGGTCCAATCACCGTCTTTGTCTACCACATGTTATGCGTAGCATCCAAGAAAATTTGGAAGTTAGGGAATCGGAAATGTTCGGGAAGGTTCTAGATAGAACAGTGTACGCCTCGATGAAAGTCGAAGAATTCGAAACGAGGTGGGAGGAGATGGTTCAACGTTTTGCTGTCAAGGACCATGACTGGCTTCGGAATTTGTACGAAGATCGAGAAAAATGGGTCCCGGTTTATTCGAAAAACACTCCCGGTGGAATCTTTACAGGGGAATACATAAACCCGTTTTTCCACGGGTACTTACACGAACGCATGACTTGGAGTGAATTTTTCAACGTACACGAATTGCTTTTACAGAAAAAGATACACAAGGAAGCTTTAGACGATTTCGAGTCGAGAGAGTTTATGCCCGTTTTGCAAACGAGGTGCAATTACGAACTGCAGGCTTCCCAACTGTACAGTAAAGGAATATTCTCAAAGTTTCTAGAAGAAATAGTGCTGATGTGTAACTGTTTCGGCGTAGCTCAAATTCACACAAACGGGGCAATCGTCACGTACGTGGTCAAAGAACGAGATGCTGACGTGGCAGAAGTGAAGAATTTCGAAGTGGTGTACGATAAAGTCGGGGCGGAAGTTCGGTGTGTATGTGGTTGCTTTAATTTCAGAGGGTATTTATGCCGCCATGCATTGAGTGTGCTCAGCTGCAACGGGGTTGAAGAAATACCGAGCCAGTATATATTGACAAGGTGGAGGAAGGATGTAAAGCGTATTTACAGTCACGATTTTGATTCTAACGGGATTGATGTTAGTAACCCCGTTCAACGGTATGATCATTTGTATAGACGGGCGATGCAAGTTGTTGCGGAGGGAATGGGGTCGAAAGATCATCATATGGTTGCGTGGCAAGCGTTCAAGGAGTCGCTTAATAAGGTTCGTCTTGCGGCCGAGAAACCTGTATAAATCGGCGCCATTTTTATTTTTAATTTTATACAAAAGTATTGAATCTTGTTTTTGCCTTCTCATACAAAAGTTTGAGATACTTTACTGTATAGTGAGAAATTATTCCCAAAGTGTATATATATTGTTCGTTGTCTACCTTCTTGTAAAATATACACAATTGTTTTTTTCATTTTCTTTTTTTTCCGCTGATGTTGTTAAGTTATTACTCTATTTTTGGGTTGTTGAATCATAAATCTAAATGAATTGTAAATTGGAAGATTTTTAATTCTTTCAAAAATAATATAGATAATAACAATATATAAATATTATAAATAAATTATACAATTATGTAAATATCGATAAAATAAATATACAGTGTAATAACAAAAATTTATGTATGTCTGTTAGAGCTTATGAAGGTTATAATATCTATATCAATTCACATACTCGAATTTTAAAAATCTCCACGTTTCACAAATATATAAAAAATAAATTTTATTTAATTAAATATAAATATACGTAATTTATAGTTAACGTCTCAATATATTCTCAGTTAATTTTCATTGGAAATATAGTAAACTTAAATTTTCTTAATTCGTTGTAAATAGTAAGATTTAATCAATTTTTTGGAACAACTTTTTTTTTTTTTTTATTAAATCTTACTATTTACGATTTAATCAATACCGTGGACCTTTTTGTAGGGGATAACTAATTCCCAAATTTCATAATCAACGACAAAATCTCTAACAAAAAACCCCTCGACTACAGTGAGGTACAACATTGTTCCCGCCGGAGCACCGCCAGTAGCTTTCTCCGGTGCCGGATATCCGCCGACTTTGTCGCTATTGAAGGTAAGCTGTGTAATTTCTGTTTTATTTCTCTTAAATCATGTCAATTATATGCAAACTCAAAGTTGAGGAAAAAATGCATATTGCAGAAAATCTCACTCAGTTGATTATGACTCTACAAGAACTGAAACATTGTAGCTTTTCATGAACTTCTGGTGTTGAATGCACAGATTATCGTAAAGTTGTATTTGTTAGACTGGTGTTTCTGTTTTCTCGATTAGGGCTAATTTTTTTATAAGTTTGGGTGAATTACAGTAATCCCCTAGGTAAAATCAAATTACGAAAAACTCCTCCTGTTTGGGTAATTACAACTGCCCCTCAACTATGAATTTTCATACTAGTCCACTTACGGTGTCGATTCAACAGGATCTTCTACATTCCGTGGAATGTTCTCTAGTTTGTACTCGTTTTGAAATTCTGATAATTTATGCAGGGAAGGGCATGCATTAGTATAATCGCTTTCGAACCACTTGAATGTGCATTTAGCATATCGAATGCTCGATTAGCTATGCATCAGTAACTGACAAAATATTGATTTGTGCTTGAAGAGAATAAACTATGATAGTTTTGCATTTTTACGAGGAATTGAGAAATTATCTGCTTTTGCTGCTTTGAACTTGTGAACAGAAGGAAATAGTTTAGATATTTTTTTTTTTTCAATTCTGTGTTTTTTCGGGCTTATATATGTTCAGACTGAGAGATTGTATGGAAGAAACTCTCGACACCGAGCAAACAACAGACGTAGTACTATCATCCTCTGCGGGTCCCCCACAAACCGACGGTCAAAATGTCATTCTCGAAGTCGACACTTCCGAAGCAAGTAAAAAAGAATTCGTCGCTCCAGCTGCGGGAATGGAATTCGAGTCCTACGAAGACGCGTACAACTACTACAACTGTTACGCCACAGAATCAGGCTTCAGCGTGAGGGTGAAAAATTCGTGGTTCAAACGCAACAGCAGAGAGAAATACGGCGCCGTACTGTGCTGCAGTAGCCAGGGTTTCAAAAGAGTTAAAGATGTGAACCGCCTGAGGAAGGAAACTCGAACCGGCTGCCCTGCTATGATGAGGATGAGGTTGGCCGATTCTAAGAGGTGGCGTGTACTTGAAGCAACCCTCGAGCACAACCACACATTAGGAGCGGTGAAGAAGATAGGCAGTGGGCCCCACAGAAAGATGCTGTTTAAATCCGAACCCGAAACACCGCCCGTAAAATTATACCGTGCTCTTGTCGTAGATGGTGGGACCCCCTCCGATTTCAATCAAACGCTGGCTAAAAGTTCGTCGGAAACTCTGAATCAATTGAACTTGAAAAAGGGGGATACGCAGGCGATGTACAATTATTTGTGCCGTATGCAGCTTACGAACCCTAATTTCGTGTACTTGATGGATTTAAATGAGGAGGGGCGTTTAAGGAATGTGTACTGGGTGGATGCGAGGGCTAGGGCTGCGAATGCCTACTTCGGCGACGTTATTTTCCTCGACTCTGCGTGCCTTTCGAATAAGTACGAGGTGCCGCTCATTTCATTCGTGGGCATAAATCACCACGGTCATTTGATTTTACTCGGTTGTGGCTTGCTCGCGTGCGAGTCAATACAGTCGTACGTTTGGCTTTTCAAAGCGTGGCTTTCTTGTAAATCCGGAAATCGGAATCCCCCACAAACTATTGTCACCGATAGATGCAAGATTTTGCAGGCTGCAATTTCGGACGTGTTCCCAAAGTCAAATCATCGGTTTTCCTTGTCGCACATAATGAAAAAAGTTCCGGAAAAATTGGGTGGATTGAGAAACTATGATGGTATAAGGAAAGCAATTGTGAAAGGAGTATACGAGGCTGTAAAGCCGTTCGATTTCGAAGCAGCGTGGGCGTTTATGATCCAGCAGTTTGGCATTGCTGATAACGAGTGGCTGAGATCGTTGTACGAGGATCGTGCAAAGTGGGCCCCGGTTTACCTAAAGGACACCTTCTTCTTCGGAATGGCTGCTGCACGGCCAGGCGAGACACTGAACCCGTTTTTCGAAAAGTACCTGCACAAGCAAACCCCACTGAAAGAATTTCTCGACAAGTACGAATTAGCCCTGCAGAAAAAGCACAATGAGGAGGCGAATTCGGACATGGAATCGAGAAGCTCGAGCATCGATTTAAAGACGAGATGCTCGTTCGAAGTACAGCTGTCGAAAGTGTACACTAGAGGAATATTTAAAAGATTCCAATTGGAGGTGGAGGAGATGTACTCGTGTTTCGGCACAATGCAGGTACACGTAGATGGGGCGATCACGATATTCTTGGTGAAGGAAAGGGTTCTCTGCGAAGGGAATAGGAGAGAGATAAGGGATTTCGAAGTTCTTTATAATCGAGGTGCTGGCGAGGTTCGTTGCATATGCAGCTGCTTCAACTTCTACGGGTATTTGTGCAGGCACGCATTGTGCGTGCTGAATTTTAACGGAGTGGAGGAGATTCCTTCCAAGTATATTCTGTCGAGGTGGACGAAAGATTATAAGCGGTTGTGTGTCGAGGAAAATGGGAGTGGTGGTGGTGGTGGTGGTGGCGGCGGTGGCGGCGGTGATATTACGGAACGGGGGCGGTGGTTCGAGCAGTTGTACAGAAGTGCATTGCAGGTGGTGGAGGAGGGGGTGGTTTCATTGGACCATTATAAGGTTGCTTTGCAAATGTTTGATGAGTCATTGGATAGAGTTCACAATATTGAACAAAAAAATGTGCCTACTCATCTTTTGTAATATGATCTCTCTCTTTTTCTTACAGTTTTGTATATTATGTGTTTCCTTAAAAGCATTTGCCTAAAAAAAATTTAAACAAATTTTTTGAATTTTTTTGACTTATTAAGTTAAGGGTAAATTATGGACACACTCCTGATGTAAGGTTAAATTACGAAAAATTCCTCATATTTGGGTAATTACAATCATTCCATCAATTCTTACGCGTCCACCTTTATGGTGACCAATTCAATAGAAACTTCTAGATTTTGTGGAATGTTTTCTAATTTGTACTCGTTTTGTGCAAATTTTCAGTTTCTGATACACCACAATATGATATTTACAAAACAAGAAACACATCTTATGATCATCTTATTTCAAAATGTGGAGATCGAATGGGATAAAACGGATACAAACTGGAGAATATTCCACATAATCTAGAATATTCTACTAAATTTGATACCGCAAGGGTGGATGAGTAAGAAATTCTTAATTGAGAGAGGTGGTTGTAATTACCCAAACATGAGGAATTTTTTCATAATTTGATTATACCTCAGGGGTGGCCGTAGTAAATTAAGTGCTTCAGATTTCTCTAATTTAGGAGGTTTAAGGGGTCAATTTGCAATATTGCCAACAAATTCGGTCCAAAAGTGCAAATACTCTAAAAAGTTGTCCAAACTAAAAACTTAACAAGGGTACATTTGAGAATTCACAACCAAGCTGATGACGACGATGTGTAATTTGTTAACGATACCCTAGAGGCACCGCTGTGTCTGTACAACCACTCAACATTTGGGGGACTGCTCCTCCGCCGCCGCACCGCCGCAATTGCCAGGCCACGCCGCCGGTTTTACATCAACATTATCAATTGTAAGCATACTTCCAGTTATCTCCGTGCTCTTGCATAAATCACGAGGGTGATGAATGTCTGGGTGAAACTGCTTTACTATGTCTGATTACAATGGATTAATTTGATTTTGGTTTTTCTGTTTCTCTGCGGAATTAGGAATGATGAAATCTCTTAATTTAATTCCGAATTCACAGCACATAATTACATTCAGCGGAGCATTAATCTGTATAGATATGTATGTATATATATGAATTCAAGTTAATCAATCATAATTCATGAATCAATCTTTACACTAAGCTACTTGGAAGCTGCAATTGTTTCTTTCTTTCTGCTAGTATAGTTTAGTGAGAGAGTATTTCTCGATTTTAATCGACTTCAGTTACCACATTATATGATATATTAATCGAATTTGTTCTTATTTCGTTTTCCCCTTCTTCGCTAGATGGATGAATTTTCTCTAAATACCGAACCTGCGTGTGATGACGAGGCTGAAGAATTTGAAATCGATGGAGAATGTGCGATGACGGAATACGTCGGTCAAACCGGTAATATTCTGCGAGGTGAAAATCCTCTGCCTCCAGCTGTAGGAATGGAGTTCGATTCGTACGATGATGTTTATTACTTCTACAACTGTTACGCGAAACAACAAGGATTCGGAGTAAGAGTGAGCAATACTTGGTACAGAAAGAGCAAAGAAAGATACAGAGCAAAATTCAGCTGTAGCAGTGCAGGTTTCAAGAAGAAAACCGAAGCCAATCGGCCGAGGCCCGAAACTCGAACGGGCTGTCCTGCAATGATTAAATTTAGGTTAATGGATAATCATCGCTGGAGAATTATAGAAATGGAACTCGAGCATAATCACTTAACTGGTCCAGCTGGCGGTAGCTTCTGTAAATCTCGTAGGATAACGGATCTTGGAAGTAAGAGGCCTTTGTCGATAGACGGCTCCGAGGAAGTTTGTAAAATCAAATTGTTTAGAACGTTGGTAATTGATGAAGAAGACGACGGAGGCGAAACTAGGATTAATATTGATGGGGGCGACGATAAATTGAAGCTTAAACAAGGTGATGCGCGAGAAATGCTGGATTTTTTCACGAGAATGCAGTTGACTAGTCCTGGTTTCTTTTATGTTATGGATTTTAATGAGAAAGGGTGTTTGAGGAATGTATTTTGGGCAGAAACGAGGTGTAGGGCAGCCTATGGTTACTTTGGAGATGTTGTGTTTTTCGATACTAAATCTTTGACTGAAAATTACGAGGTTCCGTTGGTTGTATTTGCTTGCATCAATCACCACATGCAGATGGTGCCATTAGGGTGTGGTTTGGTTTCGAGCCAGAGTGTCGAGTCGTTTATATGGCTGTTCAGAGCGTGGATCACGTATATGGTGGGGCGGGCCCCACAAACTATCATTACTGGGCCCTGTAAAGCCTTGCAAAGTGCTGTTTCCGATGTTTTTCCGAGGGCTTTTCATTGCCTTTCCTTGACAAATATTAAGGAAAAGATTGCTAGCGAATTCGATCCAGCATTTACTAGAGTCGTTTATGGTTCTTTGAGAGTGGACGAGTTTGAATTGGCTTGGGAGGACATGGTGAAGACACATGGACTTGAAAATCACAAGTGGCTCCAAACCTTGTACGAAGATCGGAAGCGGTGGGTCCCGCTCTATTTGAAGGAAGTTTTCTTGGCGGGACTTTTTCCCGTTAAGGAAAACGAGAGATTGTCTTCGCCTTTCGAGGAATACTTGAGCCCACAAACTTCTCTCAAGGAGTTTCTGTGCACTTACGAACGAGCTCTTCTTGAAATCGAACAAAGAGAAACACTATCCGATATGGAATCTACAAACAACTCGAGTTGTGCACTAAAGTCGAGATTCTCCTTCGAGCTGCAGCTCTCGAAACTGTACACGAACGAAATATTCAAGAAATTTCAAGACGAGATCGAAGGTATGTACTCTTGTTTCAGTGTAAGAGAAATAAGCACCGATAGCTCATCCTTGACTTATTACATAGTGAAAGAAGACATCCTAGTTGAGCAAAACCATAGACTAACAAGGGAGTTTGAGGTGATGTACAATACTTGCGATTCCGAGATTCTTTGCGCGTGTGGGCTCTTCAATTTCAGGGGCTATTTGTGCAGACACGCATTGAGTGTAATAAACGAGACCGGTCTGGAGGAGACTCCACCTCGGTACATTCTTGCCAGATGGAGGAAGGACATTGGTCGAGACTATATTTTCAATCATGGGTGTAATAATAACAATAATAATGGCGATGATATCGATATAAATAACCCTGTGCATAGATATGATAGCTTGTACAAATGCGTAGTCAAGGTTGTGGATGAAGGGAGGAGATCGCACGATCGATACAAGTTTGCTTCGCGGTCGTTGGATGAGATATTGAACAAAGTTCATGTCCAAGAGAATTGTCCAGCTACTAGCTCCATGTAGGATTTGTCCAGACACACACTTCTATTTATGGTAAGTGTGTAAGAAAATTGGCATAAATCAATTAATCATGCTTTGGCATAGCTTTTGTTAACATTGTAACAGCAGTTGTGTAAATATGCAAAAATATTAGAATTATTATTGGGCAAATTACACAAAAAAAAAAAAAAAAAAAGATTGATCAAGAATCAGTAGTGTCAATTTGAGCCGGGATCGAGTACTGGCAGCCTACAGTGGAGGCTAATGGATTTATCCGTTTGCCTCGTGCCCGGAACGAAGAACTGAAAGATCACAATCAAGCAACCACCTTGCGGAGCGATACCGTAGAAAGCGCAGTCGGGTTTCGCTAAACTGCACTGCAAACACTTGAAGAAATGCTTCACGCTAACTTGCACCGTTGTCGCCTCCTCTCTCTGCAAACTGGCAGCGGCGGCGGCACCACCTTCGGCCCTCGCCCCCAGGACAACCAGGTTCTTAAACTCGGCGCCCAAGGTGATCAGAGAAGTCGAGATCTGCAAGTGCAGGTCGCCGTGTTTGGTGATGGAAACCCCCATGACGTCACCCACGTGCTTCATCCGGTCGGCGAAGTTCTGCAGGAGGTTCAGATCGGGGGCCTTGATGAGGGTGGCCGGAATCTCCTGGCCGCTCTCGAGCGCGTGCTGGAGCTCGTCAACGTCGGCGCGTGAGAGGGGTTTGGAGATGGGGACGTCCTGCACGACGGCGGATTTGTGGCCCTTGGCCTCGAAGGTGAGGAACGGCGTGGGCAGGGTGGAGTGCGGCGGCAGCTTCTTAACCAGTTTGATGTGGAGGCCGTCGGAGGGGTGGGAGTGGGCAGAGACGGCGAGGATGGAGCGGAGGGCGCGGTGGAGGAGGGAGAGGTCGAGGGAGAAGGCGATACGGTCGTCGTTCTGGCTGGAGATGCGGTAGTCGGAGAAGAGGGAGGAGATTTTGAACTGGGCGATGGATTGGGGGCCGTCGGAGTTGAGGAGGTTGTGGAGGAAGAAGGCGTGGTCCCGGGTCAAGTACAGGTGGCAGATTTTGCCCATTTTGTCTAATGCGGGTAGGATCCTCTTCTCCAATAGGTTGATTCCGTTGTCTGTCATCAATGCTTTGAACTTCATTGTTGATTTTTTTTTTTTCTGTGAAAAATTAGGGTTTTTGCTCTGAACCTCTCTCTCTCTCTCTCTGTGTGTGGGGAAGACGAAGAGGAGAAAGGAGGGTTTCTGAATTTTTGGGGGGAAATCGCGAATTGTTTTGGCCCCTTTTTTTTCACTTTTGAAAATATAAAATAAAATTGGAATTGGCAAACTAAACTCGAATTCCTTTCCCAAAATTAGAAGTGAAATTTCGGAAATTGGGACGAAAAAAACTTGTTTCGAAATTGAAAATTTCGGGTGGTAATCGGTGGAATTCAGAATCTGTAATACTTATAGGGAACATTACAGTTCTCATCCCTAAAGTTTATATCTATATCACATTTGACTCATTATGTTCACAACATTTGGTTCCTCATGTTTCAATAATTTAATATTTTGGTCATCTTCATCAATTTACTGATAGTCCGTCGGTTAAGTTAGTGGTGGGAATATGCATGATTCCGTTAGTTTTTAACACAAATTTGACGGAAAAGACTAAAAGAAAATTCTACCATGGGGAAATGAATATATTTTCTGTGAATATCGGGGACCAGATGTGAATTTAGAATCTGTATTTTTTAGTCACTTGTGATATAAAACATATAATAATACTTATAGGAAAAATTTACAGTTCTCATTCCTTAAGTTTGCATCTATTTCACATTTGGCCCATCATGTTCATAACATTTGGTCCCTCGTATTTTAATAATTTAACATTTTGGTCCTCTCCATCAATTTACCGTTACTCAGTCGGTTAAGGTAGTGGTTGGAACATGCTTGATTCCGATAATTTTTAACAGAAATTTGACGGAAAAGACTAAAGATGTTGAATTTTTCAAACATGGGGGACCGAAAATATTTTTAAGTGAATATCGGGGGTCAAATATGAAATCGGTGCAAACTTGAGGATGAAAATTGTATTTCTCCGAATACTCGGTACTATAAAAGTGTGATTACAACTTATAAGAATAAAATCGATATCTTCAGAAATTAAAATTGGATATATGTTTTCCAATTCCGTCCAAAAACAATTCGCAAAAAATGGAACTTTCGAAATGTGGAATGGGAACACTATTGTGCCAGCAAAACATATTTGGATCTGAATCGACGGAATTCGTAATTTTCAACCTTATGTAAACCATATGGGGGGATGTATGCAAACCAGAAGCATGTTTTTTTATATTTCAATAGGCTATCAAATGGATTTCGTTATTACGACAATTTAATTGTTCAGAAGCTCAAGCTCGCTCTTTACTTACTTATTTTTAATATAAATAATGTACATAATAAATATAATAAAAAAACCGGAAGAAAAAAAAACAAAATTTAGTGTGTGTGTGTGTGTGAGTGAGAGAGAGAGAGAGAGAGAGAGAGAGAGAGAGAGAGAGAGAGAGAGAGAGAGAGAGAGAGAGAGAGATGATGCGAGAAAAAGGTAGTATCTATGTGTATA